CCAGTTCGCCAACCTTACCCAAATGTTTGGGTGACTTTGGCTCATGCTTCAGGTTTAGATACCAAATGTTTGTCCAACACAGCCCCAAAAAAACCATTTCCTACCTGTTTAAATGGTGTTCCAGTGGGTCTTTGACCAATCCCAAAAGATATTCAAAAAGCTGTAGCAGGCACATTCATGGGATCATCCCAAACCATCTCTGGATTCTGGCGGAGGCATGGGAACAGTGTGTTCCTCACCTTCCCAAGGCATCTTCTGGCCCTCAAGCTCTGGAGATCCTTGGCTCCATGTACACCACCTGTTGTGTCAAATTGAATTATCCAGGCAAAGATCCACCTTTAGTTATGGGTGTTACTCCCTTTCACAGTGTACTTAAAAATCAGGCCTCATGAATTAATTCCTATGAATAAATTCTTAGTTTAAAAGGAGTTCTTGTACCAGAACATGCCACAGTCCCCCAGCTGTGGGTTGTGAGGCTCCTTCAGGAAGGTTTTTCTGTGGAGGAGCTGTTATCCCATGCCAGGGATATTCCCAGGGACGCTCTCCCTCTCCTCAGACTGCTGTCAGCAATATCATTTATTTCTCTGGGCACAAAACCCACCCTGGCAAACATCATCCTGGGTCTATTAAGGGCTCTCACCATTCCCAACCACAATTCAGTGGCTTTTAAAAAACCCTCCCCGAAACCCAGCCAAAAGCACCAACCCCAAGCGTGTCCCTAGAAAATAGATTCTTTATTTTTATGCTGCAAAATAACTACTGTAAAAATCCTGCTTTCCATCTTTTCTCAGCCACGTTGGCTGGGCAGAGCTGCAAACAGCCATTCCTCTCAGATTCTGCTAAATATAAGTGAGACCTAAACAAAAAACCCCTCAGATGAGATATGCAGATTGCTGCTGAGACAGATTTCCATACATATGGCACCAGACAAGCTCAACATGCAAAGATTGTAAAACTTGTAGCAGCACTGGCAGTTTCTAGGTTTCCTTGGAAAGCTGTTTTGTCTCGGGATTGCCACGGCAAAGTAAAAAATAATGAAGAAATTGCTTTAATTTTCCGTGCAGCAGAAATGTCAGCCAGCAATTGTTCTGGTCCTGCCCTTTGTGACACACGCTCGGATATTTTTATTTGACATTTTCCCCCCTTTAATTCCTGCCTCTCCTCTATCCAAGTAGCTGTGATTTCACTTCTCTGGAGGTTCAAAACAAGGCTCTGATTCATCTTGCAGAGGCTCTGGGAGTTCCAGCCAGAAGGATGCTGTGAGAGGGATCCAGGAGGATTCCCCTGGGTCAGACAGGACACACAGGGCTGGGGCTGCTGGCTCCAAACTGTTCCCAAACCTCTGCCCCTGGAGCAGCCCGGGGGAGCCTCCCCAGCTCTTGTTGATTTTCTGCTCTTCACAAACTCTCCCAGCACTGACTGGCCCTGGCCTAAACTTCCCCCACCCCAAATCCTGGCTCTGGGTGTCACACACACCCCTTGGGGGTCACACACATCCCTTTCTGGGCTACCTAAAAACAGAGGCCAGACAGAATTAAGGCAATAAAAAGCAGTTTATTTATTGAAGGCCTTCAGGTATGTTTAGGGCAGACAAAGCCCCCCAGGGGCTACACTCAAAATGGACAACTGGTCACAGGTTTCACACTTTTATAAGATTGGTCCATTTATATATTAGGGGTTGATCTGTTCCAATTCCAGCTTCAGGTCATAAAGTCATTTACCCCAGGTTTGCTGCCCCCAACTCACTTCTGTCTCCATCTCTCAGGGCCTGAGGCAGTGAGGTGTCCTTGATTCCCAGGCCTGGAGAGGAATTGTTGGTCTGACAAAACGGGAGAACAGCAGCTGACACTGGACATGGAGTTTCTACACTAAAGAATTGCAGGATTACAAATACATGGAAAATATAAAAGCTAAAATCCTAAGGCATCACATACATCCACCCCTCTGGGTGTCACACACATCCCTGTGGGGTCTGCAGGTCTGAGCTTTCCTGATGCTTCCTGTGTGGCACAGGTGAACGTTTCCCCTTCACCTGTGTTATAGATACAGGTGAAATTAAAATATTGGCTTTTTGCAAATACTAAAATGGATTGCATATGTATCGTGTTAAAGTACCTTGGTTATAAAGATGTAGTTTTTATTTCTGTTGTTGATTAAGCTTAGACATAAAGTTCTCAGAAGGCTGATACACTGTACTATACTATACTATACTATTTTATATTATATTATAACACATATTATAATATAATATAATATTATATAACATATTATAGTATACTATAATATATATAATTATATAACATATATAACATACATAACATATTATAGTATATAATATGTTACATATATATATATGTAACATATTATATATAACATATATAACATATATGTTATATAACATATTATAGTATACGATACTATATTATACTATATTCCTATACTAAAACTATACTAAAGAGAAAGGATACATCAGAAGGCTAGAAAAGAATGAAAAATAAAAACCCAGACTCCTCAGAGAGTCACTCACAGCTGGCTTTGATTGGTCATTAAGTAAAAACAATTTACATGGAACCAATGAAATAATGACCAGTTGGCAAACAATGGCCAAACCACATTACAAAGCAGCAAAACACAGGAGCAGCAATCAGATAATCGTTGTTTTCATTCCTCTCCGAGGCTTCTCAGCTCCCCAGGAGAAAATTCTGGGCAAAGAGATTTTTCAGGAAATATCCGAAAATATTTTTTTTTCAGAAAATATTGAGCGCATCCAGAGGAGGGCAACAAGGCTGGTGAGGGGCTGGGAACACAAACCCCGTGAGGAAGGTTTGAAAGAGCTGGGGCTGTTTAGCCTGGAGAAGAGGAGGCTCAGTGGTGCCCTCATTGCTCTCTACAATTCCTGAAGGGAGGCTGAGGACAGGTGGGGTTGGTCTCTGACAGAAGCAGAGGACACAGCCTCCAGCCACGGCAGGGAAGGGATGGGTTGGATTGTAGGAAAGGCATTCTGTGCTGTTCTTGTGAGCCAGCAAAGGCCTCCTGAAGATAAAGGGAAGCCCCATATCTCTCCTGAGGAAGACACCAAGGCTGTCACCATGGAGAGGTGAGGAAGGAGAGCAAGCTAAAAGATACGGACTCCATCTGGCTCAGAGAATGATGTGGCTCCTTGTTCACCTACTGAGAACTTGGTTTCTTTCTTGTGACCAGTGGGCAGTGAATGTGTCTGTTAAGTAAATGTGGATATCTTGAAAAATATTGCTATAACAAATCCCTCTTATGCACCCTTCTGATGGAGCCTTGGTACTTTGTGCTGTGTCACGCTTTATAGTGACGTGGATATTAAGAAGAAATTTTTCACTGAAAGAATAATAAAGTACTGTGATAAGACCAGGATCTTCAGATTGGCCTTATCCCCGAGTGCTGCAGGATGGTCAGGATAGCTCAGTCCCTGTGGGAGACAGAGTGCCCAAATCCCCCCCTCAGCTCTCAGCCATGGCCACCCTTGGCAAGCTCAGTGATTCCAGCTCTTGTAGGATTCCAGCTCTTGTAGGATTCCAGCTCTTTAGTGATTCCCAGCTCTCTCAGGATTCCAGCTCTTTAGTGATTCTCAGCTCTTTAGTGATTCTCAGCTCTCTCAGGATTCCAGCTCTTTAGTGATTCCCAGCTCTCTCAGGATTCCAGCTCTTTAGTGATTCTCAGCTCTTTAGTGATTCCAGCTCTTTAGTGATTCTCAGCTCTTTAGTGATTCCAGCTCTTTAGTGATTCCCAGCTCTTTAGTGATTCCAGCTCTTTAGTGATTCCAGCTCTTTAGTGATTCCCAGCTCTTTAGTGACTCTCAGCTCCCTCAGGATTCCAGCTCTTTAGTGATTCCAGCTCTTTAGTGATTCCAGCTCTTTAGTGATTCCCAGCTCTCTCAGGATTCCAGCTCTTTAGTGATTCTCAGCTCCCTCAGGATTCCAGCTCTTTAGTGATTCCAGCTCTTGTAGGATTCCAGCTCTTTAGTGATTCCAGCTCTTTAGTGATTCCCAGCTCTTTAGTGATTCCCAGCTCTCTCAGGATTCCAGCTCTTTAGTGATTCCAGCTCTTTAGTGATTCCCAGCTCTTTAGTGATTCCAGCTCTCTCAGGATTCCAGCTCTCTCAGGATTCCAGCTCTTTAGTGATTCCAGCTCTTTAGTGATTCCCAGCTCTCTCAGGATTCCAGCTCTTTAGTGATTCCAGCTCTCTCAGGATTCCAGCTCTTTAGTGATTCCAGCTCTTGAGTGATTCTCAGCTCTCTCAGGATTCCAGCTCTCTCAGGATTCCAGCTCTTTAGTGATTCCAGCTCTTTAGTGATTCCCAGCTCTCTCAGGATTCCAGCTCTTTAGTGATTCTCAGCTCTCTCAGGATTCCAGCTCTTTGTTGCTCGCTGGGTCACCTTTGGCTGGGGCAGAAGCAGACGGGAGAGAGGAGAAGGAGAGGTCCTGGCGTTCCACAGCCATGGTTTATTGAGGGATCTGTGAAGGGTTCCATGACAGCTCTTCTCCTGCCAAATGGGCTCAAACAGCCCCTTTTTATAGGGTATAGGGGGATCCAAACTTGTCCAATAGTGAGGGTCAGGGAAAAGGTGACCTATGGGGTTACAGAGATAAGCTATGGGGCGAGACAGAAGACAGGAGCTTATTTTGCTGTCTCATCATCACTCAGCAGTTCCTGCTGTTGAGTCTCAATCCTCCATGGAGCTCTGGCCAGCTCCATGGAGTCTGCTACAGTACTGGAATGCTCTTCCCAGGGAGGTGGTAGAATCACCACCTCTGGATGTGTTTTATAAAGGACTGGACACGGCACTTGGCGCTATAGTTGAGGTGTTGGGGCACGGGTTGGACTCGATCCTAGAGGTCTCTTCCAACCTCATTATTCTGTGTGATTCTGTGATTGTGTGATTCTGCGATTGTGTGATGGTGTGTGATTGTGTGATGGTGAGGCACAGGTGCTGGCTGACGCTGTGTCCCTGTCCCTGTCCCTGCAGAGCGGGCGGCCGGCGTGTACCACCGCGAGGCGCGCTCCGGCAAGTACCGGCTGACCTTCGCCGAGGCCAGGGCCGTGTGCGAGTACGAGGGAGGACACCTGGCCACGCTGCAGCAGCTGGAGGCAGCTCGGAAAATAGGTCTGGGGAAACACAGGGGCTGAGGGGGCTGGCTGGGGGTTGGCGTTTCTGTCCCGAGCTCTGGGGCTCGTTGGGAACTCCACGGGGTTTTGGTAAGGAGCAGGAGGAGTGCCAGGGTGTCCCCACCCTCCCAGCCAGGAGTTCCCAATGTCCCATCCATCCCTGCCCTCTGGCACTGGGAGCCATTCCCTGGCTCCTGTCCCTCCATCCTTGTCCCCAGCCCCTCTCCAGCTCTCCTGGAGTCCCTTCAGGGGCTCTGAGCTCTCCCTGGAGCCTTCCCTTCTCCAGGGGAACATTCCCAGCTCTCCCAGCCTGGCTCCAGCCCTGGGAGCATCTCCCTGACCTCCTCTGGACTTGCTCCAACCACTTTTATTTCCATCAAGATATTTTGTCTGCAAGGGAATGAGTTCTGTGCTTGGTGTGAAAAGTGGAGCTGAGTGAGATCTCCCCTGCATTTCCAGCTGATTCCTAAGAAGTTCTTCATTCATTCAGAGCACTGGGAAAACAATGGAAAATATCCTCCACTCCAGACATTTTTTCACTCTGCTGTTGAGTCAGAAGCTGGCTCCCAGCAGCAGCACATGTGAAAAGGGTACTTTTGTTTCTTCTGAGGAGCTCTGAGCCCTAAGATGCCACAAATATGTTCCAGTTCCTCTCCATGAAAACATTGGATGGGTCTCTACAACATTGCATTCTTTGGCTGTTGGTGTTGAGTTCTCAGCCACAAAATGCATTAAGGGGATCTTTTTGTTTGGCAAGAAATCCCTGAGGCATTTCAGGTATTTAAATTTAAATTGAAAGTGTTTTAAGCAAACGCTTGGGGATTTTAGCTGTCTGTAGTATTATATTTATTTTTAGAACTTAATGCTGAGAACCCTTGAGATGGGATTGAGTAAATTTGTCTGACTTCAAAAGGGAAAGAGAGAACACCCTTGGAAAACCCATCCTATGGCTAATTTGATTACAAGTGCTGGTAGAGCGCTTAAACCTGACTGTGCAGTCCATCTGCATTTGATTTGGGGCTTCAGATGAAGAACCAGTAATCACATTGTGGAGAACACAATTCAATTTTACCCTCTGCATTTCAAATTATCCTCTCAACGTCCTGTTCCCCCTGTAGCTCAATTTCTATCAGGCCAATCACACCCAGGCCATTGAGTCAGACTTGGTGCAATAAGGGCAGCCCAGGGCTGAGCATTTTCTGCCTCCTTTGCTGCAGGTTTCCACGTGTGTGCTGCTGGCTGGATGGCCAAGGGCAGAGTTGGCTATCCCATAGTAAAAGCTGGAGCCAACTGTGGCTTTGGCAAGACTGGGATTGTTGATTATGGAATTCGCCTCAACAGGAGCGAGAGGTGGGACGCCTACTGCTACAACCCCAACGGTGAGGAGCAACCACAGGGCTGTCCTGCTGTCCTCTTCTGTCCTCTTCTGTCCTCTTCTGTCCTCTTTTCTCCTCCTTTGTCCTCTTTTGCATCTAGCCCAAAATTTCTCTGAATAATCTGAGGGCCTTCTGCCCATAATCTGAGGTGTTCTGCCTGCAACAGGGTAAATTTAAGGTTAAACCTTCTTTTCTTTGGTCTGAGATGGAACAGCTCTGAAAATGAATGCCCTGCCTGGGACTGGCATTCTTAGGAGGATTGTCCTAGCGGGGAACTGGGAGGAATTCCTAGGGAGGAATTGTTCCCTGGGAGGGTGTGAGGGTCTGGCACAGGGTGCCCTGGATCCCTGGCAGTGCCCCAGGACAGGTGGGATGGGGCTTGGAGCAGCCTGGGACAGTGGGAGATGTCCCTGCCATGGCAGGGGTGGATGGGATGAGTTTTAATGTCCCTTTCCATCCAAACCATCCTGTAACTCTGTGATTCTCTGAGTGGAACTCCCACCAGCAGCGCTCTGTGTGTAATTGGAGGAGGAGAAGCGGCTCCCCAGAGCAGATCAGAGTTCCAACAGGACTGACAAGAAGCCCAGCAGAGACATCTCCCCATCTCCTGCACGCTGCTCTGCAGGTGACTGCAGCACCCACGTGGGCACTTGGTGTCCCTTCAGCCAGAGGGGACAGGCAGAGGTGGCACCAGGCAGGGCAGCAAAGCTCAGCCTGGCCCCGCTGCTGCTCCCTGGCCTGGCAGAGCCAGGCTCAGGCTGGGCCATGACGTCTGCACAGCTGTGCACATTTTGTTTGTGCTCCCAGGGCTGGGGCTTGTTTGTGTTCATCAAATAGCTCTGTGGGGTGGGGGCCCTGCCAGATGTTCCACACAGAGCTGCAGGGACACTCCTGCCCTCGGAATTTCGGCGTGGGACCGTTCCTTTGTCTGCTCTGGGCCACAGGGAATTGCTGTCCAGTTTGGTCAGAGCTCCAAAGGAAACCAGAGCTGCCAAAAGTGCAGAGCCACGAGCCTGCAGCACTACAGGGATTGGTGTCCAGGGGCTGTGGAGCCTGGCTGGGCTGTCAGGAAGGCGGGACATGAGCAGCTGGGGGGACAGGGGCAAAGCCCTGGCAGAACTGAGCCCGTGCTCTGCTCCAGGAGGCCAAAGAGGGCAGGAGGAACTTGTGGAACTGTTGAGGTGTTTGAAGTGTTCATCCCACCCAGCAGTGATCATGACATGATGGAATGGGCTGGCTTGAAAGGGACTTTAAAGCCCATCCAGCGCCAGCCCTGCCATGGCAGGGACACCTCCCACTGTCCCAGGCTGCTCCAGCCTGGCCTTGGGCACTGCCAGGGATCCAGGGGCAGCCCCAGCTTCCCTGGGAATCCCAGCCCAACCAGGAATTCCCAATTCCCAGTGTCCCATCCATCCCTGCCCTCTGGCACTGGGAGCCATTCCCTGGCTCCTGTCCCTCCATGCCTTGTCCCCAGTCCCTCTCCAGCTCTCCTGGAGCCCCTTCAGGCCCTGCCAGGGGCTCTGAGCTCTGCCTGGATCCTTCCCTTCTCCAGGGGAGCATTCCCAGCTCTCCCAGCCTGGCTCCAGAGGGGCTCCAGCCCTGCAGCAGCTCCTGGCTCCTCTGGGCTCTCTCCAGCAGCTCCAGGTCTTTCTTGTGTTGCAGCCCCTGAGCTCTCCAGGTGCTGGGGTGGAGATGAGCTGGGAAGTTCTGGGCTTGTGGACAATGTACAAACTCAGGGGGTTAATGGGGTTAATCCATCTTATTGCTCCTAATTCCCGTGCCCTGAATCCCCTGACACAGCACCTCCCTCTCCCCAGCTCTAAACTGGGATAAATCCTAAATTCAGGCAGGAATTCCCAGTTTGGTCAGCCCCACTGGCAGGGAGCTGGCAAAGTCCAAATGGCCACTGGATCAAAGCAGGAGTGGTTTTATCCCAAAGGGAATGTGGAGCAGCAGGAACAGCAGGAGTACAACAGCAGGTCTGTGATGACGAGCTGGTTTTTGTTTGAGACACGCTTGCAAGGGGTTTTTGAAGAAGAGAGGATGAATGTGAGTGTCAGTGTGACTTGCAAGTACAGCTGTAAAGCTGGAGAGAGCCAGAAATCCCAAATGCATCTCACATAAAACACAGCTCTGGCCCCAAACCCACTGAAGGCAATGAAAGCTTTTCCTGTGAATTCAGTGAGGTTTGGATCACGCCTCTTGCTTCCAAAATATCTCCTTCCAAAATCTGGGTGTCTAGGTTTGAAAAGCCAGGTGTCTGCTAAGGAAGGCAGGAGCCTCCCCTGAAATGGAAAATGTAAACCCCCTCCCTCTGAATTATTGTAATTTTGAAATTAAGGGGGGCTCTCAGACAAAGTTATGGGAATAGGACTAACAGTTCTTTACTAGGAAAAATTAAAAATACAAATACAATAGTACAAAAAAGAAAACAAAACATTGACAGTGTCAGAGCAGTCCCTGTCCCCTGTGTGTCAGGGGGTGGCACAGCCCCATCCATGGGGGCTCAGCCCTCCTGCAGTGCCAGCTGTGGCTCTGCTGGAGCAGGGATCCTGCACAAGGGGGGAGTTTTCCTCTGCAGCTCCAGGGCTGCTGGAGATGGGCCTGGGCTCCTCTGGGAATGCAGGGCAGCAGAAGCTGCTCCTCTGGCAATGCAGGGCAGCAGGAAGCTGCTCCTCTGGGAATGCAGGGCAGCAGAAGCTGCTCCTCTGGGAATGCAGGGCAGCACAAAGCTGCTCCTCTGGGAATGCAGGGCAGCAGAAGCTGCTCCTCTGGGAATGCAGGGCAGCAGAAGCTGCTCCTCTGGGAATGCAGGGCAGCAGGAAGCTGCTCCTCTGGGAATGCAGGGCAGCACAAAGCTGCTCCTGTGGGAATGCAGGGCAGCACAAAGCTGCTCCTCTGGGAATGCAGGGCAGCACAAAGCTGCTCCTCTGGGAATGCAGGGCAGCAGAAGCTGCTCCTCTGGGAATGCAGGGCAGCACAAAGCTGCTCCTCTGGGAATGCAGGGCAGCAGGAAGCTGCTCCTCTGGGAATGCAGGGCAGCACAAAGCTGCTCCTCTGGGAATGCAGGGCAGCAGAAGCTGCTCCTCTGGGAATGCAGGGCAGAGGCTGCTGTGCTGTCCCAAACCTCAGATTGGATCCAGGTAGGAATGCTTGGCTCCTCCCCTGGGCAGAGCATCTCCCAATGGGATGATGGAATTTTATCAGCCATGCAGGGACACTTACTGGCCATGGACAGAAGATAATTAATAATTAGTGGCCCATGAACAGAAGATAATTAATAATTAATGGCCCATGAATAGCAGAGATCTCCTGAGGGAGGATTGGCTGTGGGAGAGATAAAGAAAACTGCCCCATGGACAGAGGATAACTGCCCCACTTCTGACAGATGGGGATAGGATACACCAAGTCATTAGTTACATCAAAATAGCTCATTATATTCATTGGACAAAGCAATAGCTTATTGTGTTTGATTGGTACAAAGCAATTAACATCAATAATTAATTGGCAGGAGTTTTCAACAAATTTTTAAGGCACGAGTGCTGCTCACTAAGGCTGCAAATATCCCTTATGTGTCTATTTTATCAGTTTCCATGCAAACAGCCTTGCTTTCTTCCTTGCTGTGGATAAATTCCCATTTTATCGATTTCCTCTGCTGCTAACTCAGTTGTTTGGCCTGCAGAGCAGCTGCTAAGCCTGTCCACAAGAATCTTTGTCACTCTGGATGTCCCTGTGTGATTCCCTTGGAAAATCTCCAGCTCCAAGTGTCTGAAGATTCAAACCACAGCCAGAATTAAAACTCCAACTCTCCCTGCTTTTACCTCTCCCTTAGGAAAAGAGTGTGGTGGAGTCTTCACGGATTCCAAACACGTTTTCAAGTCTCCAGGCTACCCGAACGAGTACGAGAACGAGCAAGTGTGCTACTGGCACATCCGGGTCAGGTACGGGCAGAGGATCCACCTGCAGTTCCTGGAGTTCGATGTGGAGGATGACACGGCCTGCCTGGCTGACTTCCTGGAGGTCTACGACAGCTATGATGATGTCAATGGATTTGTGGGCAGGTAAAGCACATTTGATATGCAAATTTATGGTAAATTGGTCCCCCCCTTCAGAAAAATGCTGTTGATTAATTATAAATTGTAACATTTTTGTGATACATGTAAAATGAATAATATATCATATATAATTTATAATATATAATGCATAAGATGTAATGCATTATATATTGTCTATTATATATAGTATATAGTATATCGTATATGGTATACTATAGTATATATGCCATATAATATATAGTATATTATAATATATAATAATATACTATATATAATATATACTATATACTATACATACTATATATTACAATATACAATAATTATTAATACTATATTAATAGCATCGTATTGTTATTGCTATATTATTATTAATAATATATGATATAATAATGATGTAATAATAAAATAATATATATTATAGTATACTATATATTGTCATATATACTATATTATATATGGTATAATATATATACTGTATATATAGTATATATTATAATATATGCTATATATTATAATATGCAATAATTAATACTATATTACTGGTATTATATTATTATTTCTATATTATTATTAATTATACAATATATTATAGTATACTATATATTATCTATACTATATATTATAATATATTACATATTATATGGCATATATACTATAGTATACTATATGCTATATATACTATAGTATATTACATACTATATATGATACATATTATATATACTATAGTATATTATATACTATGTACTATAGCATGTTACATACTATATACTATATATATATATATATATATTATATATACTATAGTGTACACAATATACAATATATACTACAGTATATGACATACTTTAACCACCAGCATTTCCTATTTTTCCAGGTTTTGTGGAGATGAGTTGCCAGATGACATCATTAGCACAGGTAAATTATTTGCACGCTTTGTGGGAACTGAAAAAACTTAAAACCAAAATAGATGTGACAAAAAATTACATGCCCAATATATATCTGGAAAAAAAACCTGAAATTAATTAAATTTTTTTAAATGGTAAAAAATTAAAATAAATTAATTAAATAAAGAAAATGAATACTGCCCTAAAATATTTCCCAAAAAAACCCAAAATAGATGTGAAAACAATTAGAAAACCCCCAAAATGCATGTGAGACCCCCCCATTTTTCTGCCCCCCAGCCCATAAAAGTTGATTTTTCCTGTGCAGGGAATGTGATGACGCTGAAGTTCCTGACGGACGCCTCGGTGACCGCAGGGGGGTTCCAGATCCGCTACTCCACCCTGGACACGCCTGCCCCAGCCAAAAATGCCTCAGCCCAGGGCAAAAGCACCTTCGTGGCTGGAAAATTTGGGATTATGTGAGCAGAACTCCAGGCACAGAAAGGGGCTCTAGACTGAACACTATTCAGATTTTTTTCTGACATTTTTTTCATCTCTTTCTGAGATTTTTTCCATGTCTTTCTGAGATTTTTTCATTTCTCTTTCTGAGTTTTTCTCTTTGGCTTCTCTATGTTTTGGTAATAAACTACACTTAGGGAATAAATTATAAGATATACTTACATGGATAATAGAGAATTATTTTTAGAATACAAGTACTGTAAAAGTCGGAAGAATTCCTTGCTACCAAAGACTTAAAATTTATTTTTTTTCTGTATAAACTGCTCCTTCTCCTCATTTCTTGCACCACTTGAACAAACTTTTTGTGTGTCTGTCCTGATTATTTTTAAACTTAACAGGCTCTTCTCTCCTTATTTCCCTTGATTTCCACATATTTATTTTTTAGCCTGTTGCTTTTTTTCCTGTTATTTACACATTATTGTTTTTTTAATTAACTGGTCTTCTTGAACTGGAAGGGCCTTCAGTGTAAGGTTATTTTGAAGACAAAAATTCATCTTGTGGATGGCCTGGCAGCCACCAGGTGAAGATTGGGAAGCAGCACAGAGAGCACAGGATCAGCTGGATCCACACTTCAATTTTCCTGTCAGATCCATGGGTTCTGGCAGGGTTTCCTCATCCAGAGAACGAAGTCCTTTCAGAAAAATAAGAGGAATTACTTGGTAAAGAGAATAAAAGTGGTGAGAGGAAGCAGCAGGAGGAACTTCTCACCAAGCACGTTCAGAAGACACCATTGAGGTTCTGGACCTTGTTTACACGGGTTGGAGACTGCTCTAGTTGAAATTGCTGAATTTAAATCCTTTAAGACTGTTCTAGTTGAAATTGCTGAATTTAAAATCCATTCAGACTGTTCTAGTTTAAATTGCTGAATTTAAAATCCATTCAGACTGTTCTAGTTGAAATTGCTGAATTTAAATCCTTTAAGACTGTTCTAGTTTAAATTACTGAATTTAAATCCTTTAAGACTGTTCTAGTTGAAATTGCTGAATTTAAAATCCATTCAGACTGTTCTAGTTGAAATTGCTGAATTTAAAATAATTTCAGACTGTTCTAGTTGAAATTGCTGAATTTAAAATCCTTTAAGACTGTTCTAGTTTAAATTACTGAATTTAAAATCCTTTAAGACTTTGAGTTGAAATTGCTGAATTTAAATCCTTTAAGACTGTTCTAGTTGAAATTACTGAATTTAAAATCCATTCAAACTGTTCTAGTTGAAATTGCTGATTTTAAATCATTTCAGACTGTTCTAGCTGAAATTGCTGAATTTAAATCCTTTAAGACTGTTCTAGTTGAAATGGCTGAATTTAAATCCTTTAAAACCGTTCTATGAATTTAAATCCTTTTAGACTGTCCTAGTTGAAATTGCTGAATTTAAAATCCATTCAGACTGTTCTAGTTGAAATTACTGAATTTAAAATCCATTCAGACTGTTCTAGTTGAAATTACTGAATTTAAAATCCATTCAGACTGCTCTAGTTGAAATTACTGAATTTAAAATCCATTCAGACTGTTCTAGTTTAAATTACTGAATTTAAAATCCATTCAGACTGCTCTAGTTGAAATTGCTGAATTTAAATCCTTTAAGACTGTTCTAGTTGAAATTGTTGAATTTAAAATCCTTTAAGACTGTTCTATGAATTTAAAATATTTTCAGACTGTTCTAGTTTAAATTGCTGAATTTAAAATCCTTTAAGATTTTGAGTTGAAATTGCTGAATTTAAAATCCTTTCAGACTGTTCTAGTTTAAATTACTGAATTTAAAATCCTTTAAGACTGTTCTAGTTGAAATTACTGAATTTAAAATCCATTCAGACTGCTCTAGTTGAAATTGCTGATTTTAAATCATTTCAGACTGTTCTAGTTGAAATGGCTGAATTTAAATCCTTTAAAACCATTCTATGAATTTAAATCCTTTTAGACTGTTCTAGTTGAAATTGTTGAATTTAAAATCCTTTAAGACTGTTCTATGAATTTAAAATATTTTCAGACTGTTCTAGTTTAAATTGCTGAATTTAAATCCTTTAAGACTTTGAGTTGAAGTTGCTGAATTTAAAATCCTTTCAGACTGTTCTAGTTTAAATTACCGAATTTAAAATAATTTCAGACTGTTCTAGTTTAAATTACCGAATTTAAAATCCTTTAAGACTGTTCTAGGTGAAATTGCTGAATTTAAATCATTTAAGACTTTTCTAGTTGAAATGGCTGAATTTAAAATCCTTTCAGACTGTTGAAATTGCTGATTTTAAATCCTTCTCCAAATGTTTTTACCTGAAGCAGCATTAAAGCTACCTCTGGTCTAATCCCACCAAGCTTGCAGTGAGTTATTTTTGTTTCTTGCAAATGTAATTAATTGTATTAATTTAAAGGAGTAAATAAGTTTTGTTTCTGAGTGTTTTGTTGAGTCCAGCTCTGCTGAAATCTAATGCCCACTAAGAATTTTCCTGTGAATTCCATTTTGTTTGCAGCATTTGTATTCCTCATCACCTGAATTCATCAGGAATGGTTTTGTGCTGGAATCTGAAATGCAGGGAACTCTCAGATCTTTGGGCCTGGAAGCCAAAGTTCAGAATTAAACCCAGGGTTTGATCTGAGACCTTGGAAAAGGCTCCCAAACTCAGGGAGAGTTGGGAGAATGTGAATTTATAGCATAAAGCAGAGACATGTTAAGCTAAGGAAAGTTTAGAGTTTTAGAGTTTAAGATATAGAGAAAATAAAAGCAGTTCCAGAGGTGAACAAGGAGTTTAGGATGCAGCACTGTGGGTTTGTGTGCCATAACATGATGGCTAAGAAAGCTCACACACGAGTCCATAAGATGAAATATTTAAAGATTGGGTCAAAACCATAAATATGATTGTTGGCAGTGCTTTATTGGTCAATAGATCCTTTAAAAGTCCTGTGACTGAGGGTCTTGGGACCTTCTGGGCCATGCAGTGAAGATGTGAACCAAATTCACCCTTCCTGCCTGTGTAGAAGAAAAACAAACCACATCATTTAAAAAACTCAGAGCTCCCATCTCTAACTCATTTGGAATTCCTTCACAAATCCCCATAGTTTGCTCAAGGAAGATCTTAGCCCCATTTCTGCTTTATTTCTTCTAATTTATTTCATTTCTGAGCTTTTATTGTCAATTCACTGGGAATATAATTTGGCTGTACTGAAGAACAACATTGCAGCTCCTCTCCTGGTTATTTCCAACACTCTATTTGTGCTCCACGAAACGAGTTTGGTATCACCACATTTCTGGGATGTAACTGGATTTAAAATGTGCTTTTTAATCCTGCCACCTTGTGTTCACAGCGCCTGTTGTACAACAGCATTCCCATTTTCCAGGATCAGCCACAGCGCTCGTCCATAGGGAAGGGAATAAGGAAAAGCATGGGGAGAATATAAATATTTTATTTATGACCTCGGCGTGGGGTTTTTGTTGTTGTTTCTTTAACCGGGAGGAGACAGGATGGATAGGGATGAGAAGCAGGGAACACCAGGAATCCCCACGGGATAATTTTTGGGGAAGAAACCCAAGGGATCCGGTTCCGCTAGGCATGGCCGGTGGCACAGGGAAGCCCTGGAGGTGACAGAGCCTCAGCCATGCCCGGCTCTGTCCCGGAGCTCCAGGGATTTCCAATTTTGGGTTCGGGATTTCCTATTTCACCCCAGGGCCCTCAGGGAATTCCGGCTTGTGCCGGAGTTCATCTCAGTTTGAGCTAGAGTTCATTTCCAGTCATTAATTGGGGATTTGACCTCACGTGCTTCCTCCCGAGGGTCACCTCCGGCCTCGTGACCGGGGACAGGAGCCCGGGAATAGCCGGAGCTGTGGCGGGGCGTGTTTAGGTGGGAAATGAGGGAAAGGCTCTCCCCGCACAGCGTGGGCTGGCACTGACCAGGCTCTCCGCGGAACGGTCACGGCCCCGAGGCCGCCACAGCTCCGGGAGCGTTTGGACAGCGCTCTCAGGGTGGGATTGTCGGGCAGACCCGGGAGGCGGCCATGGATGATCGCCCCTTTGCGCCGCTATTCCCGGACTCCGGCACCCGCGGGCCGCGCCGCCCGCTCCGCCCGAGCGCCCTCAGCGCCGCCCAGGGCCCGCCCCCCGCGCGGCCCCGCCCTTCCCGCCGCGCCTCCTCCAATCAGCGACGAGGGGCGGGGCTGACGCGGGGCGCGGGAATCTCCGGGCCGCGCTCCCATTGGCCGGAGCCCGCGCGCCGCCGGGCCCGCCGCGCGCGCCGCCATCTTAGCGCGGGAGGCGCGCGGCGCTGAGGGGCGGCCGCGCCGGGGGGAGGCGGCGGAGGTGGTGGTGTCGCCATGAGCGCTCCCGGCCCCCATCCCGAGCCCGCCGCGCCCGGCCCCGAGCCCGAACCCGCCGCTCCCCAGCCCGCCGCCGGCTCCAGCCTCGGCCCGCTGCTCCACACGCTGGAAGACCCCGGCGCGCCGCTGGGAGAGCTGACGGACGCGCACCTCACCATCGTCAGGTGAGCGCGGGGGACGCGCACGCTGCCCGAGGGGAGCGGGCGGCCTGAGGGATCGGGGCGGGCGCGCGGAGCGAGAGAGCCGGGAGCGCCATCGGAGCGGGACCTGCCGGCCTGGCTGGGGCAGCGTGGCCGCGGGGAGACCGCGGGAGACATGCGGGGCTGGGGGGAGGGAGGAGGAAGGGAGAGAGGGAGGAGTGAGCGGAGGAAGAGGAGGGAGGAAGGAGCGCATGTCCGCAGGGTCTGCGTATCGCAGAGCCTCCCGACCCCCTTGGATTCCTGGGCCAGAGGTACGTTGGGAAATAATAACTTTCTTGTAATGATAAAGCTTTGCGGCTTTATGATTGGAAGGGTGAAGTTTTTAGTTGGCGTTTGCCGCGTTTTCATTGCGTATCTTTCTGGAAGGTGCTTCTTGCCCATGAGGTTGTGCCTTTACCTGCACCTGGCCGGTTTTACCATGTGCAAAGGCACGATCTTTTTCTCTCAGTTTCTCCCTTCGGTCC